TTTTTACTCACGAAAGCTTATGCCCAAATAAATCTGTTAGTCTTTAAGGTGCCACCAGACTCCTTGTTGTTTTTGAATGGACATGTCACTACAACTCTGTCACTCTTAGGATTTAGATGGTAACTCATTTGTGTGTATATATTTGCTTGTTTTAACCTGTAAATAACTCTTATTCTTTTTTTCCTAGTTAATAAATCATTAGGTTGTTTATTACAGGATTGGGTACAGGCGTTGTCTGTGGTGTAAGATCTAGGGTACCAATTGCTTGGGGGTAAATGACTGGTCTCTTGGGACTGAAGCAGCCTGATTGTGGTGTGATTTTTGATATAAGTGACCATTTATCACTAAGTCCAGTTTATCTAGGTGGCAAGATAGACTGGAGAGTCTACGAGGTCTGTCTGTGAGTCCATGGTAAGACTGGTATAGTGATCCAAGACTTCACATTTGGTACTGGCTTGGTGAAATCTAGTTCCAGAACACATCATCAGTTTGGGGTGCCTGCCCTGTTTTCAACAGTCTGCCCTGAGGTAGGCACTCACAGTTGTGAGCCACTTCAGACAGTATGACCTATATAATCACTTATCCCCAGTAGCTGGGGCTCTCAGGAAAATACCAAAATCACAAGAGCTGGCAATGCCGTACTTGCAGCTTCTGCATTAGGCTGCCAGGCTACTTCCTCTTGAGATTTATTTTTAATGTCACTAATTTAGTGCCAAATTATACTACCTTTATTCATGCTGAGTAATACTGTAACAGAGTTACTGTGCTGGCTGGCTGGGGGCGTGGGTGTCTCTTGGCACAGGAAGCCCCTTATTGGGTGTGGCTTCTCCCAGAGAGGAAGAACTTCTGTCTCAGGAAGCAACTCTGAGAAGTTGAGGTATATAATTTCTGCAATGGTGAGAGAGAGGAAGCAGTTGTTGATACCAGAGACACCAGTAGCAGGAGTGGAGCTGCCTGTGTACTGTCTCCCACTAATAAAAATATGTGGTTCTGTTGCTAAACTGAGCTTGGGCCAGTGTCGTCATTCTGGGGACTCTGCCTGGCTGTTCTAACTTGCCAATAAGGAGACTGTGAGGTTGCAAAACAATAACCTACTCTACCTGAGGTCCCATAGATGTTGGTCTGATTGCTTGTGGAATAAGGCACTGCTCAGAGTAAGGATGGGTGATTGATAGAAACTGGCCCTTCACAGTCAGAATTTCAAGTGTTCTGATGGGTGGCTGAGTGAAAAGAGAAAGTCCACTGTGTTTGTAGGACAAACACGCTCACAGATTCACAGCGGACAGCCATGACCAAAGACAGAGCCATGTTTTTGTGGCTGTCATAATTTGACAGCACTTTGGCTGAAGTTCCCCTCTGTGCTGAGGGCCAGCACCAAGCCTGTGCATCAGTTTAAGCCATAGTGCACAGGTCTTGTGCTGGCCCCCGGCATAAGGGATGAATTTCACCCAAAGTGCTGTCAAATGCACAAAATGAGCAAACTGACCAAATGGAATATTGTTTTCTCTGATCTCTTTCAGTGACAGTAACCCTATGGCTAGACAGAACTGTGATTTTTAAGTTGTAAGTGTCATTTTAACATATTACAAAGAGAGAAACGAATATCCTTTCAACCTACTCCCTCCTACAGCTTCCCAGCGTATCTTGTTCTTTTGTATCCATTTCTTAAATTGTAAGCTCTTTGGGGCAGAAGTTTTTTGCTTGTATGTATCTTGTACAGTGCTGAGTACACTTATGGCACTTTGATGATGATGATGAGTAGTATAAGATGGGGCTGCAAACAAGTCACTGTAAACTGAAGTGGATAGCTTGATGCAATTATCTCTATCTCCTTGATCTTAGACACAGTGCAATGCTTTTCCAGTGGTGGGATTTTTGCCAAGGTGTTCATGTATGTAATGTAACTCCTTTTGGCTGTGTTCCTCAGCTGGCAGATGGTGAGGGGCAGTGAAAATGCTGCTGGATCCCTCCCTCAGAGAAGGCAGGGGTTGTGAAAACAACAATTGGCTCCTTCCCTACATAGTGAGGGAAGGGAGAAGGTAGATTGGAATGAAATTGCCCTGCCCACTAGCTCCCCCCTTTGCAGGAAGGTGGAGGTGAACTAGTGCAGCTACTGTTTGCTCCCTCTCTCTTCAGGCTGACCCTAAAGCATGTATTTCTTCCGTAAATATCTAAACCATCATCAAGTACCTAAAGACTCCAGAGAACTTGGTAAGCAACTGAAGTTCTGATAGCTTATTTTTAACCCTTTGTCTGTATAATTCATTTATTTGAAGCGCACCTAAGCCCTGACAAGTGACAAATGTGCTCTGGCAGCTGGGCTTGTGAGTGAGGGGGCAGTGATGTATCACATCCCAAAGTGGACAATGATAATTGTCTCTCAAACATTGCAGATTTATTGTTTTCTCCTTTTACCTTTGTTACTAGATTTCAAGTTGCTCTAAAGGAAAGATAATAAGTGCTTGCAAAACCTAGCAAGATAAAACAGTTGAACTGGAGCAATTAAAATGAGCACCTATCTTTAATTGCAGGAGAATGTCAAAGGCCATATGGTTTCAGACTGTTCAGAACTGCTGTTCCTTCTGTGCTTCCTAACCGGGGAGGGGGAGGAAGAAGGAACTCTCCACTTCCACCCTATGTCACCTAACAGCCATCAAACCTTTTCCCAGCCCTGACATTGAATGAAAATCAAACCTCTGAGGCATGCAAATGTTTTTTTAACAGATTAGTCCAGCTTTCTTCCCTTCCAAAGGAGAATGAATGACCATTCATTTAGGCTCACTCATAATTTCCTCTGCCTGTAGTGGGAAAATGTCCCAGACACATACCCAGCAGCCTACAGTCTACTCCATGATATGCAGGCAATCTCTCCATACTTCTATATGGGCTGGCCTTTCTGTTCCAGTCCTCCCCTGAGGGGTCTTCTGGTGGGTCTTATGTCTGAGTCAAGGATTCCATTACATTCAATGCATTCCATGCTCCAGAGTAGAGCAACATTACAACTGTTGCTTCTGGTCCTTTAATATTTTTTAGTACTCTTCAATCCCCATTTGCAGACCAGCAGAAACAAACAGAAGCAAGGAGCAGAGCAGCTGGCCATCCCAATAAGCATTTAGAAAGCTGGAGGCTTTCCTGTTTTCTCATGGTGATCTTGAAAGGAGGAGGTTGCAGGCTTCAGAATCCACTTGGGGAACAAGAGGATTGTGTGGTGGAAGAAAGTATCACTAGACCTGTGTGCAGAAGAGGGAAGCTGAGTAGTGAGAGAGGGGTAGAACGCTTGGGGCTGGGGTGGGGGAGATACCGCCAAAGTTTTTATAAGTAGGGGAATATTTGGTTGCTTATCTAAAATGAATCCAAACCTCCAGAGGTTTTCCCATCACTGTTTCTAACATTGTGAAGACGGTCTCAAAACCCTAGACATGAACAAAAATGTATAAGGAGGAGGTACATACCAATACATTAAAGGACAGAGGAGGACTTGTCAAATAAAATTGAAAGGAAACTAATGGTCAAGGGAAAAAAACATTAAAAAGATCCCTCTCCCCCCACACCACTACAAAACCACAAAATGCTGAAAGAGAATTTAGAGGAGAAAGGGCAGGATCACATTTTTGCTCCTCCTGTATGACTCCATGCAAATAACTGTGATTGAGTAGCTGTAACCAAAAGCAGATTTTGGTTGTAGTGGCCAGATTTTGTGCTCAGATATTGTGCTGCACGTTTATTATGAAACACAATGGGAGTTGCATATCTGGGAGCAAAATTTGGTTCTGAGGATATTACAGTACAAACTTGGCTAATGTGTCAGTTTTGACTTCTAGTCTTACGAGGGACGTGGATGTGGTGGCTGGAGAATGGGTTGGTTCAGTTCATCCCCTGAGCAGCCTTTACTGGAGAACATCACTTGCAAGTGAAAGCTGCCATTTCCTGCCAGAAGCGCAGAGGGAGGGCAGACATTGCCCTTCCTCTGAGTGAATTGCCCCTGAAGCATACACATGCAGGATGTGGCAGGCAGTGTTGCCAACTCTCATGACTTTGTCACGAGTCTCATGATAATTATTTTTCTTAAAGCCCCGGCTCCTGGAGTCAAGTAGATATGGGATGATTTCAGCCTTCGTTCTTAAAGGGAAAGGGAATTTCTTGTCCTCATGGCTGTGAAGAAAGCTTCAAAATGAGACCCTAGTGCACCAGCTCCAGGGCCAGCTCCAGGCACCAGCTTGTCAAGCAGGTGCTTGGGGCGGCCACTGCAGAGAGGGGCGGCACGTCCAGCTATTCGGCGGGCGGTCCCTCACTCTGGCTCGGAGCGTAGGACCTCCCGCCGAATTGCCGCCGCAGATTGCGATCACGGTCTTTTTTTTTTTTTTTTTTGGCTGCTTGTGGCGGCCAAAACCCTGGAGCCGGCCCTGACCCGAAAGGCTTAAAAAGCAGAAGGCAAAGAAAAAAAACACCAGATCTATTATTTTTGCATAATCTGGCTTTAAAATCATGAATCTTATTATTTTTGGTCAGCCTGACTCATGATTTTTGAACATTTGGGGTTGGCAATACTGCAGATGTGCCAGCAGGGATGGATCTAATCCTATATATGGGATTTCTTAATATACATTATTATGTGTAGAACTGATGAGTTTCAAGCTAAAAATATCTAGGCTGGTTTAATTTTTGACTTTTAATCCAAAGTAAGACAAAATATCAGTAAAGAATCACCATTTACTTGACAGCCTGCACCTCAAAATGTTATTCAGGGTAAGAAGCTTAGAGGCACTAAGGTGATATTTAAGGGCAATTTAACCCCATACTTTAACCTAGACAGGTGAATGTGGAAACAAGAACTGAGTGAATAATTTTTAATATTTCCTCTCTTTTTCTCTTCACAGAATGTCCACATACAAATCACGATTGTCATAAAGCTGTGACACTTTGGAGTTGCTGGTAAGAGATCGATCTTCTTTTCTTGGTGCCAGAAACATGACATGGGTCGGGGTTATGAAAGGTTAATAACTCCAACACATAACAGGGGTCAGCTGACGTCATAGCCTGTTATGATTTTTTCCAGTTTGTTCATTAATCAAAAATTAGATGGATTTTCCCCCAAATTTTAATTTACACTATGACTCTACTCATTTATTCAATGCTTTGCTGCCTAAGTTGTGTGTGCTTTCTTGTGATTGTTCACATAAATCACATGGTACTGCTTCAGTTCCCAGACTGGATGAGTAACTCTTATACTCAGACTATGGGGGTGAATGGCGCAGAAAGAGAATTTGAAATCTAAGTGGGTATAGCACTAATGGGTTTAGGTGGGCGAGATTAGAATTCGTTCTATGTCAGTGTTTGAGCTAGTAAAACAAGAATCTCATGAATGCCCACAGAAAACAAATGAAAAGGAGGGGCAAGCCTCGCTGAAACAAATTCATTTCAGAATCTGAATGAATCATTTGATTTTTTTATGCAGTATTTGCTCAGTGGGGCAGAATAGAAGGAAGGCCCTAGTCCCCATACAAAGCCTGATTCTCAACTGCTGAGCATTCACTTTGCACAAATGTAAATGACCACAGAGGGGGAAGAGGTGAATAATTGGCTCCACACTTCCTACATGCCTACAAATTGACCAGAATTCTCATCCAAGGAGATGAGCCTTGCTGGGGGGAGTGTGGACACAATTTCAGTGATAGGTGAGTTGGAATTCCCTCAGGATGAGAACAAAGGGACCCTAGTATCTGGGCTGACGTGAAAGCACTGACAATGGTTCTTCCAGAGGTTTTTTCTGGGATTAGATGTTGCTAGGCATTCTTAGTGCAACATCATGAAAGCCTAGGAGACCCAGCAGTGAGAGTGCAAGGGACTTTCTTATCTCAGCCAGGTAGGGGAAGTCTTATCCATTGGGGAAGCAATGGGTTATGAACCAACTTTTGTCTGAAACTTTCATGCTACAAGACTTTATTTTTATCATGGGGAAAACAAAGCATGGAATAAAGATTTTTTTTCTCATTATTACTAATTTACTGTAGATTGCAAGCCTGTTAGTTTGGTAATTTCTGACCTGAATCAACTTTCTAGTTTAAAGCCTTGTATCTTTCTATGCTACCCTTGTAGTTTCTCTCTGAATACTTTTTCAATATCATCCTGTAAAGTTTGAAAATTCAACAAAATTCAATTCAGTTTCACCTTTGCTTGTGCTTTTCGTTTGTTGAAAGCATAGCTTTCGCTGAAGGCTTGTCTTTGGGGAGTTCTTTAACAGATTTCTTCCTCTCTAGGGGAAATATCTCTATGGAGAGACCTGACATAAGGAGTTAATGTGGTGGTTCCTGCAAAAAACATCCCAGGACATATTTTTTATTTTTTTGTTTTAATTGGCCCTCTACGATAGGGAATTCTGGGAAATGCCCTTCCTTTGTAGAATGTGATTGACTCATCTTTGCATGGTCCTGTCTTGATTATTAAATAGGGAGAAGTTATCTCAATAGGCCCCAAACTACATTTTATAAGTGTTTATTTTATTTGTTTTTCCGTTGCTCAAGTAGTGATTCTGTTTATGCTCTTTTCTTTATAGTAATAAAAAAAGACTTATATTTATACCTGAAAAAAGTCTCAAGGCAATTTCTTCATAAATCCTTTACAGTACCCACTTGGTCACCCAGCTGCTGCTTTTCCATGGCAGGGTTGTGAACACGGATGAGCTTTACAGAGACACAGCAGAGGTCTACCACTAACTGTGCTATTTGTTGTCTTTAACACAAAACAGGTATCAGGACTGGCGAGGATCTGTGGTGTTGCTTTCCGTAAGTGTTGGACATTGCATTCCTATTCTTATCACCCACTCTGTGTCCTGTAGGTGATGCTAACTCCAAATTAACAGACAAAAAGAAGAAAGCATAAATAAAATGAAAAGATGCTATAAAGGAAGGTAGAAGAGGAAGAAACCCCCCGCCCCTCCAGCCCTGGTGGGAGAGAGCAGGAGAGGAGACTTTTCATCCTTCAGATAGGATGGGGAGTTGAGTAGACAGAAGGAGATTCTGGGCTGGCAAGAGCAGTTGCTCCCTAGCTGGTGCAGTGTTTTAAGGGCTGAGTCTGCAGGTGTGCTCCAGCTCTGTACATGCAAGAGGGAGGGAAGGCAGCACAGGCTGCTCCAATGGCTTTCCCTCTCAGCACACTAGAGCAGTTCTGATTGGCTGCTTTTCCCTAACAGGTATGGGAATTTGCAAGGGCAGCCAGTCAACGGGGAATTCCCATGCAAACGATAGCATTTTCACCATAGACCCAAAATGGACTCAGGAAACTTGGTAAATTTGTTAAATTATTGAAACTATTTCTGGTTGAATGGAATATTTTCACTTAGGGAGGTAACTGAGAGCAGTTATGGCTTTCATGAGAGTGGAAAGTCACTGAGGGTGTGAGCCACATTTGCAAGGAGATTTAGAGCGTGGATATTTTTAGAATGAAAGCACAAAGATCTCTTGGGTTTCCTGTATCATATAGATTTTAGCTAGCCATGTTGTCATGAAAAGCAGAGATATGGCTAGTCCTTATATGTTTTCTTCAAGCTGTTGACCCCATGAAACCTATTAGCATCATTGCACAAACAATACCCCAGATATATAAGACCAGTGAGACTGTTGTTAAGTGTAAAGATTATTGGTTAGATTCTGCTCCCATCTAATGGAAGTACTCCAGACTTACACCAGTGAACAGAATTTGGCTTTATAGCCATGGGGAAAAATACACTTCATATTTAATTCAAATCCTTCCAAACATTAAACACGAAAACATGTACCATGAATCTGCAATATTAAAAATAGAGCTATTAAGATCTTCTACTGATTATGCAGTTGTAAGATCATGAGACCTAAACAAATGAACTCATCTTTATCCCAAAGTGTGCGTTTAAAGGACTTCTCACACACAAGATATGTTAACTATAAGCAAAAGTAACATAATTACAAGAGTCAAAATCTCTCTCTGGCATTTGGTCAATATTACCCTAAATATTCTGGTGTGTGTGTAGGAGTGGTAGGTAAGTGAACCAAATTTGCTATAATTCACATCCTTTCCTTACATGTTTTTGAATTGATTGAAGTACACGAAATGATTGCTCTTTGGTGACAACACTGATCAACACTGTCATAACTATAAAGGGAAGGGTAACAGCCCTCCTCTGTACAATACTATAAAATCCCTCCTGGCCAGAGACTCCAAAATCCTTTTACCGGTAAAGGATTAAGAAGCTCAGGTAACCTGGCTGACACCTGACCCAAAGGACCAATAAGGGGACAAGATACTTTCAAATCTTAGTGGGGGGAAGGCTTTTGTTTGTGCTCTTTGTTTTGGGGGTTGTTCGCTCTTGGGACTGAGAGGGACCAGACATCAATCCAGGCTCTCCAAATCTTTCTGAACAAGTCTCTCATATTTCAAACTTGTAGGTAAACAGCCAGGCAAGGCGTGTTAGTTTTTATCTTTGTTTTCTCAACTTGTAAATGTACCTTTTTGCTAGAGAGTTTATCTCTGTTTGCTGTAACTTTGAACCTAAGGCTAGAGGGGATTCCTCTGGGCTCTTTAAGTTTGATTACCCTGTAAAGTTATTTTCCATCCTGATTTTACAGAGATGATTTTACCTTTTTCTTTAATTAAAAGCCTTCTTTTTAGGAACCTGATTGATTTATCCTTGTTTTTAGATCCAAGAGGGTTGGCTCTTGATCCACCAGGAGTTGGTGGGAGAAAGGAGGGGGATGGTTAATTTCTCCTTGTTTTAAGATCTAAGGGGTTTGGATCTGTATTCACCAGGGAATTGGTGAAGAGTCTCTCAAGGCTACCCAGGGAAGGGAATTAGCATTTTGGGAGTGGTGGCAGCTGACCAGTTCTAAGCTGGTAGTTAAGCTTAGAAGTTTTCATGCAGGCCCCCACATTTGTACCCTAAAGTTCAGAGTGGGGAAGCAGCCTTGACAACACTGTGACCAAGAGAGAGGACTTCGTTGTGACATCAGGATAAAATGCCACCACTGCTATGTAATAGGAACAGTATTTGCCCATCATTCTTCTCCTGAAGCAGTTTCTCAAGTGGTCCCTCACTACATGTGGAAGTTTTGACATGTGGAATGATCTACTTGCATCCCTCGGGGGATGACATCCAACCCATTTGTTAAATGATTTTGCTAGGGTATGACATTCTGAACAGGGAAGTGAGCATCACATGTAGACAGGACTACATCAAAAGCTGTACATCTATCTAGTATATCCATGGTATTTATATTATACCAGTCAACCATGTGCATACTCTAGGAATGGAAAATAAAAGTGCCAGCTACTCAGCTGGTGTAAAGCATTATGTTCTTTTGCTGTATTTCTTGGAATCTGAAGCTCCTAATTGCTGTCCGCAGGCCCTTTGCATAACCTGCTTGATGTGAAGTGCACATTCTGCCAAACATTGTACCTTGCAATAAAATATCTCAAATTCTACACTGGCTTCTTTTTTCAGTCTATTTTTGCAAGAGCAGCTGCAGGGGCCTCAACTGAAACAGAAATACAGAAAAGTCAACACATGCAGATGAAAGAATTAGAAAATATGGGTGTGTTGTATGCTTTGGGGAAAATGTATATGGTGCATAAAATTATTCAGCATTTTCAATATAAAAAATTACTCCGAGTCACGTATACCAATCACAAAAGTGTATCGTGGCCATAAAATTGTATTAGGAGGGATCATGCACTAACATATGGGCGTACCCATTGTTGTTCTATCTCTAACTTATAACCATTTCTGATGTAATGGATATCTATTTTTTTATCAGTCTATAATATATTATTATATCTACTTAATCAATGATATTTGTATAGTACCTATCATCTTAGAATCTACATGCTGGTAATAGGGGCTTTGTCTTATACATTTGTACAGTGTTGAGAACACTAGTGGTACTCAGTAAATAAAAGAATACTTGTATACTGCTGGACAATGGAGTGGTCATGCTTTCGTGCTTGATTTTGTCTTCATGTTTACCTGAAAAACTTCTCAACTTTCAGCTTTGTTGTGTAAACTTTGATATGCCTGGCACAGGAGTGTTATAATACTGTAATCAGCCAGAGTAGATGCTATAAATACTGTCCACCTATTGCAATGAACAGCAGTGCTTAATTTGTAATGAAAGAGGTACCAGGGCTCAAGCAATTTTTTACCTTCATAACCGATGCAGCAACCCCAGAGGTATTGGGGCTATGAACTACCAAGCCTAGAGGTGCCAGGGCTCAGCCCTGGCAAGTCTTGGCACAAATTAAGCACTGCTGAACAAAAGCTAGGAGTTGCATTTGCAGACAGTACTCACAGCTCCAAGTTTTGATACCTTTTCACACTTTTTCACCAAAATTCTCTTAAAACTTTTAATATCAGAACTGATCTAGGAACTTTGCTTCCTTTCATTCTTCATTTGTATCTAGAATTATGCGGCCATGTTAATGTTGTGCAATCTGTTTGCATAAAAATTCTGCAAGATTTTTGCTATTTATCACAAATGTAAAGAAGTTTTCTCTGTGCTCGGCCTTGCTATCCTAATTATTATGTATGGAATCAACAGATTGAGGTAGTTAGTCACATGTGTTTCCTCTCCAGAGCTTTATAATTTACTTTGTTTTTAAGTATGTTGCTTTATTTTATGGGTCTATAAACTATGGTTCAGATCCTTGGCTGATATAAATTGGAATAACTTCACTCATGTCAGTAGAGCTACATAGGTTTACACTAGCAGAAGATCTGTCCCCATATGTTTCCTGTGTACTTGCAATAATTTGTAGGTACACTTCATGTGTCCAGTCTCAAAATGAGACATTCTTACAACAGAGCATCTATTGTGTAGACCAAGATGGCTATTTCCAGTAGAAAGGTCACAGGTACACCAATTACTAGAATATTCATTGTATCAAAACTGTATTCATATGAGAGTGCTTGGAGGGGACTTTGTCCATATCATAAACCACTGGTGTCACAGAGCAGCAATTTTTGCAAGGCAGTTAGATTTCTAAACCCCTAAGCAATTACTGTCATGCAGTAAAAGGCTTTACCATGAGCTGCCAAATACAAAATCCTTTCATATGAATTATAATTAGCTATTGTTTGCACAGTGCTTTAGAAGTGCTAAACATTGTTATATAAAGCTTTCAACTTCTGGTTGGATCTTAGGAGCTCTAAGAGACTAAGCCCACAATACTTGCTCTCGGATTTGCTGCTATCTAGCACAACCCCTGCCAGCTGATCTAAGGCACAGATGGAAATAGCGGGGGAAAGCACTGTGCCCCACCATCTTAACCAGTAGAAAGTCTTTGCCACTTCCACTGTCTCCTCCCTTTTTCAGTGTAATGCCCTCTCACATACATCAGCCACATTCAACTTCTTTATGGCAGATTAATATAGAAGTCTTAAACTTTAGTACTTCTAAATGTTCTTTAAAGTCTATATTTACAGCATGTCCTTTAATTACTTAACAATAAATATCTAATAGAATACCCTATTGGTATCTACAGGATATTGTGGCTCTATGATGGGTAGTAACCTTTTAAACATATTGAGGCAGGGAATTGGCTCAGTAAATCTACAAGAACTATAAAAGTTCTGAGGTTAGGGCTATAGGTTAGTCAAAGTACATTGTATGAAAAAGCCATAGTGGAGTCATAGGAGCAATTTTGCAAGTCATTGATGTTTGAGGGAAACACAGTATGCATGGAAATCATGATTCCCATGACAGCCATGTCAGAATTCATACTTAATCGTTATTCTCCATCTTACAGCAAGAGCCTA